AAGGGTTTCCTCTTCTAGCCTTTTCTAGTCAGTGATATAAAGGCAAGCTATTTGTTAACAAAGGAGATGCTACTTTTCTGGTTGATGGGCAGAAAATTCCCAAATGTAATTATATGCATATAATTTATATTATATATTAATATATTCATATAATTTATATTAGATATTAGATATATACCCAGAGATCTTTTTAAATACAGACATATGTTCTTTCTGCATACCACTAAATTCTATAATAATATTTGAGACGAATAAAAGATTTTACAAATTCTATCAACTCAAGAATTGCTCTGGTCTTTAATTTTTGGTCACTTGCCATCTGAAGAAACTTCTAAATATCACAAAAGAGTGCTGATAGACTGCATCAAAGCTGCTTTCATTAGTACAGAAGACTCCAGAGTGGCTACTGTTTTATTTTTTCTCACTTTTAAAAATATGTATGTATGTATGTATGTATGTATGTGTGTATGTATGTGTGTATGTATGTACATCAGGGGTGGGATTCTACCGGTTCTCACCTAGAACCAGTTGTTAACTTTCTAAGCAGTTCAGAGAACCCATCGTTGGAAGAAATCTCCGTTTGTTTTTTTCCACCCTTATTACATTCTTGGCAGTATGCCTAGACTTACTCCAAAAGAGTGGAGTGGAGACTGTCTCCAAAGGAGGTTTTTTCTTTTCTTTTCTGGTACTTTCTTAAAGGGGAAGTTTTAAGCTTTTTACACTGCTGTTGAAAGGAAATACTTTCTCATGGTTGTTTTTTTCTATCTGGGGAGGGGGGGCTTCTTTCACTGCTTCAGGGGTTTCTGGCATTGTCCTTTGGGGATGTACTTCCAAGAGGCAGGATGCAAGCTTGGCACTGATTTTTTTTTTACTGCCTTTCTGGAGGGCATGTGATCTTTCCTTAAATCTGGATGATTTCCTTAGTCTTGTGAGTTAAGTGAGACTAGCTGGTATATTTAAGTGGTGCAACTGAATCTAAGGATTGCTTTTCCTGACTGCGCTCTTTCTGGAGAGCTTAAATGACTTCTCTGCTAAAGGGTTTCACTTTATGAGCAAGAGTTGATAGTTATCATTGCATATTATCTATTTTAATTTCTCAAGGTACTCTGGCACCCTGCCTGATTTGTAACTCCAGCTTGCAGGTATTTTTAATCTAATTATTGATATTTAGGGCAGCTTTTTGCAAGCAGAGGCTTTTTGTATTTTTTTATGATAATCCCTGACTTACAACAGTTCATTTAGTGACCATTCAAAGTTACAATGGCACTAAAAAAAGTGACTTATGACCATTTTTCACACTTAAGACCATTGCAGCATCCCCACTGTCATGAGAAGCCAGGTGAGGAGAAGTGCCCCTCAATGTGAGTGACGTCGAGTTGGCCATGCCCACCCAGTCACATGACCACCAAGCGATGCCCACCAACTAAGCCACGCCCACAGAACGGTTGTTTAAAAAATTGAATCCCACCCCTGGGATGCACATGCATGATTCTTCAAATCTAACTTAAAAGGAAGTTTTGACTTTAATGGGTACTTTCTGGATGCCTTACAGTATCTTATGCAGATCATGGAAATCCAATTCAAATATGAGGAATAATGGATAAGACTATTTACAGGAAATGATCTTCCTGCACAATCTTTCCTAATATAAAAATAATCAAGAACTATAAATCTATGGCTTTAAGAAAAGTGTGACCTTTTGACTTCTTTCTCTTGGCCCCCCAACTGCTTAATCAGTTTTCAACTTGTTTAACATCATTTCAACTAAGAAGAAAGGTGAAACTAACTAGATATTAAGACTTCATTAATTTCATGTTTATGCTCAGGAAGCCTGCTCAAATGTTCTCAAATAGAGAACAGAAATAGTCAAATATCAGAGGAAAAATCAAAGGTATGCTTGAAAAAAACCTCAGCAGAAATCTACTGCCAATTTTTGTCATTCATTGGATTTCTAGAAAGAAAGTATTTGTATGAATCTCTGCATTTTCCCTTCCAAAGGCAACTTGATATTAAGGGAAATTTGTGCCAGGATTCTTTGAAACAGCATAAGCCAGAGTTTCTTCCAGATTCACAACTGAGACAATCAGGATATATATCAGATAACTGAAAAACTGGTCCAAAATTGTTAATCTTTTCTCTTCAACATATATTCTTTGCTCTGGATGTATTGATACATTTTGAATTCTTTGGTTTTGAAATGTGTAATTGTCCATTCTATCACCAACTAAAATCAACAGAAATATTAATAAGTAAATAATTTAATTTAATCATGTAAATAGTAATTAAATAATTAAAATAATTTAACAATGTAAATAATTTAATAATAAAGTAACTACTAAAACAGAAAACTAAACGCAACTATAATTATCTACTTATCTAATAAAAGAGATATTAAACAGATAACACCATCAAGTAAAATTTACAGCATGCATAATAAAGTTCTCATGGAAATGAGGTGGAATAGGTAAGATCCTAAGCTGCAAAAATTCGATAGTACAGTGACTAAATCAAAGTGTCCTCCATTATAGCTGACATTGCTTTGAGATTTATATTAATAGGATGTGGCACATACATGTTTTAAATAAAAGAAATATATAGAGAGAAATGTTTTCCACCTATATTCCCATTAAGGTAGTGTCTCAATCTTAGCAACTGTAAGATGTGTGGAGTTGAAGTCCCAGAATTCCCCAGTCAACCTGTTGAAATCCACTCATTTTAAAAAATGTCAAATTTGAGAAACAATGCAGGAAGTTTTGAATGCTTATTTGTGTATACTAACCATCAAACTTGTGCAAAAGATAAAATGTTGAGCATACAAATTTTAGTTATCCACAAGTAATAATAATAAATTTACGTACCATGAAACCACAATCTCATGACTTGTAATAAGTCCTGCATAAGCTTGCCTCTGCTTAAATGAAGCAATGAAGGTCGCTTTAGTACTGCTATGGCACAGACGGAGCAGCAGCTTCCGAGAAAGTGAGTCCTTTCCCAAGTTTGCAGTTATAGCTCAGTGGCTATGGATCAGGGTCAGCTAGAGCTCTGCTGGGCAGATCCAGACCCTCTTGAGTACAAAGGAGTGCCCCTTTCCTCCTCTAAAAACAGTTTAATTTTTCTCATCCCACCAAAACAGGTTTAGTTAAATAACTGCTGAATTTTGGGCCACACAAGGTTCAAGTTCATTTTAACTTTTTCAATTTTTAAAAATATTAATAACATTTAAATAAGTTCAGACTACATCCAGACAAAAGGAAGTAATGGGGGGAGGGGGAACAAAAGGGGTTATCTGAATCAGGGGTGCCCAAGCCCTGATCCCTGAACTGATACCAGTCCACAGCCCATTGGGAATCATGTTGCACAAGTGACAGGTGAGTGTGTGAAGTTCATTTGCACAAGCGGCGAACGCACAAGTGAAATCATCCCCTCTCCACTGCCTCTGCTGCCAGTCTGTGGTGTTAGAAAGGTTGAAGAACACTGATCTAAATGATTTGTGTATAATGGTTCTTTCTTTCTTTCTTTCTTTCTTTCTTTCTTTCTTTCTTTCTTTCT